TGGGCTGGGGGCCAAGCCTGGGACTGGGGTTGACACTGGGGCTTCACCTGTCAGGAGGTACTGGGGAAGCACCACTGCCTCTGGGCCCAGGTGTGGAGCACCTGCTGCATGGAGGCCAGCAGGTGGGTGGAGCTGCTTCTGCCCAGTGTCCCCCGCAGTACTAGCAGAGGCTGGAGCCAGAGCTGCTAGGGTCCAAGTGTGGCTTGTCCAGGGCCTGCCGTGTGGTGCCAGGAAGGCAAGCAGACAGGGCTGCTTCTGCCCAGCTTCCCCTATAGCACCATCAGAGGCCAGAGCTGGAGCTGCTGCCCATGCCACCTGCCTGATCGAATCAACTGGCGGACTTAATATAATCCATGGGCCATATTTTGCTTGCCCTTGCCTGTCTGCACCAAACAGCTGTTAGAGAAACAGTACCAATTTTGAGCAGCTTGGCATCACAATAGATTTGAACTGGTGGTTTGTCAAGGAGGCCTGTCTAGTCTACCAGCACAAATTTACACCAAAATGACTCAAAAGTAGGACTAGATTTCCTACTTTTAAAATTCTTTTGGTGTTAAGTTTTGCGTGTGGATACACACATTTTGCACTGATTTATTCTGATTGTTTTGGCTATAGCATTAGTTTTGACTGCAATAGCCAATAGGTCCTGGCGAGACCAGTGCCCTTTTGTGCTAGACAGTGCACATATTTGTACACATTATAGAATTATAGAAAAATAGGGCTGGAAGGGACCTCGGGAGATCATCTAGTCCAAGGGAGGATCATTCCTTTCTAAGCCATCCCTGCATTAATCTAAATCAAGGGTGTCCTTTTCTTGATTTGATAGGATGTTACACACATTCAAAGCCATGGATTAGAACAGATTTGGTTATTTCAGGGTAAATTGATGTGTAGCTCTAGCCTAAGAAAGATGCATCTAAGACAAGGTTGTTACCAGTTGGTATTGTTCAGGCCTGACAGGCCAGTTTGCCTAAGGTTCAAATACAAATAATCATCAATGCTCCAAAAATACCTGTAGTATGAAAGGCCCTTTAAAAAGAGAATTCTCTCTCATAATTGAAGATGTAATTCATGTCACCAAGATTAATATTATTTTTCAGTGTTTAACTAGACCACTTAATTAGCACCATTCCATAACACTAAATCTGTGGGGGGAATGGTTATTGATTTCCCATTTTTGTCCTAATTAGTCTTTGGTACTGGTATTCAACAAAAAAATATCCCAGTAATTCCCAGGATTTCTAGTAATTCTGTTGCAACGTCAGTATCTTTATTAAAATATGGCATGATGGGAAGAGGCAGGAAGGCTGGATCTGACTTGTGGTCTGTCTAGTTCTGTATCCCTTAGATTCATAGATGTTAGGGTCGGAAGGGACCTTAGCAGATCATCGAGTCCCACCCCCTGCCCTGGGCAGGAAAGAGTACTGGGGTCAGATGACCCCAACTACGTGCTTGTCCAGTCTCCTCTTAAAGGCCCCCAGGGTAGGGGAGAGCACCACCTCCCTTGGAAGCCCATTCCAGATTCTGGCAACCCTTACTGTGAAGAAGTTCTTTCTAATGTCCAACCTAAATCTGCTCTCCGTCAATTTGTGGCAATTGTTCCTTCTACTCCAGGGGGTGCCCTAGTAAACAGAGCATCTCCTGTTCCTTGCTGCCACCCCCTGACGAATGTATATGCAGCCACAAGATCACCTCTCAGCCCTCTCTTGCGAAGAGATCTAGGTCCCTCAGTCTCTCCTCACAGGACCTTGCCTCTGAACCCTCTCAAGATTCTCCACATCCCTCTTGAAGTGCGGCATCCAAAACTGGACGCAGTACTCCAACTGCAGCCTGACCAGTGCTGCATAGAGGGGAAGCATCACCTCCCTGGACCTGTTCGTCATTAGCACCCGCTAATGTATGATAAAGTGCGGTTAGCCTTGTTGATCACTTCATCACATTGATCACTTGATCACACTGACGACTCATTTTCAACTATGACTTTCAACTATGACTTTCAACTATGACAACGATGTTCAACTATGACTCCAAGATCCCTTTCTGCTGCTGTGCTGCTGAGAAGGTCATCCCCCAGCCTGTAAGTGTGTTGGTGGTTCCTTTTGTCCAGGTGCAGCATTTTGCACTTGTCTTTGTTGAACTGCATCCTATTTCCTTCTGTCCATTTTTCTAACCTGTCCAGATCTGCCTGGATCCATTCCCTACCCTCTGGTGTGTTAACTTTGCCCCATAATTTGGTATCATCTGCAAAGTTGGACAGGGTGCTCTCCACACCCTCGTCCAAATCACTGATGAAGACGTTGAATAGCACCGGTTCAAGGCCTGAGCCTTGCAGAACTGCACTGCCCACATCTTTCCAGGTCGATATCAACCCATCCACCACCACTCTCTGGGTGCAACCCCCTAAGCCAATTTGCCACCCACCTGACCATGTAATCATCTGCATCACAGCCTGTCAGTTTACTTATGAGAACAGACTGAGATACTGTGTCGAAGGCCTTCTTAAAGTCTAGGTAGATGACATTTACTTTGACTCCTGCGTCTAAGCATTTTGTGACCTGGTCATAAAAAGAAACAAGGTTAGTCGTCCATCTCGGACAGTGGATAGTACTAGATATCCTAAAACCCAGCAGCTAGATGCATCTCCCATGATTGCCTTGCCTTAATTCCTAAATTAGAAGCCTTGAAGCCTGAGGTTCCAAAATCACAAAACGTCCCAAATCACTTCCAGACGAGTTAGTGCTAGCAAACATTATTCTGGCTATTCTTACTAAAATCTGGACTTCAACAATGTCTTGTTGCAATGAGTTCCACAGTCTAATGAAGCTTTATTAATTTTTGCCTAGCATTTGAATCACAGGAGTGAGGATCTGATTTGGGGTTTATTCTCAACTCTTCCAGTAACTCCCTGCGGAAACTGTCAACAAGTCCCTTAAATTGTCTTCGTCCAGAGACGTTATGCATGTCACACAGGTGCTGCATCAACAGACTGATGTTTGCAAAGTGTATTGAGATTCTCATGGGAAAATGTATCGCATAGAGCAACCGTGTTGGTCAGAGACAAGAAGACATACAAAAAACTAGAACGCTTGGTTCCAAAATGATACCTTTTATGAGACCAACTGGGAAATCACAAGAAAACTGTCCTTTTCTGCAAGCTTTCGGGATCAAAGTCCCTTCGTCAGGCTCAGGGAAAAGTACAGATGGTACAAGATGGTAAAAAGTCCCCATCGGTAGGAAATAAACTTCATTTTTGCACAGAGGGAGCTGAAGGTGGAAGGCTGTCCCTCGGGGTCGATGAGAGTGTCTTTGTGAGCTGTGCCAAGTAGCTCTTTGATGTGTAGATCAGGTAGGATTTCCTCCCCTGGAGGTGTCCGACAGCAGGCAGGGAGGTAGAAATCTTTCTTGTTGTTCTGCAATAAAGTTTTAAATCCCAAACCGGCTAAAACTGGCATCTTCCCCCTAGTTTTTTGTATCTTCTTGTCTCAGACTAACACGGCTATTAAGTATGCCCGTGAATAAAATTATTATTTTAACGTTATTAATGCAATTTCTTTCAGCCTCATCAAGAGAACAGGTTCTCTCCTCATATCTTAATGCCTCCAGTCCAGACTGGAGCCTGGAAGAGCAGAAGCAAGGGGGGAAACCCCCCTCGTTCCTTTCCTTGCACACTACACTCGGAGTAGGATGGCGATAGGTTTGGAGATGTTTTATCGAGACCGGCTTGCCAAAGTCTGTTGGCAGTAGCTGTCTGAAAGCATCTATAGGACTCCTGGAAAAAGTGAAGGGGGTTAGAGGATTTCCACTCCTCCTGCCAAGTCCGAAAGCTTCTCTGATCCATCTGTGCCCACAACCCAGGTTATTTTGGCCCGCAATCAGCGTGCGGACCCTCGCTCTGGGGCTGAGGGGCGGCTTGGTGACGGACTAGGGGTCCGTGCCTGGCTCTCCCTGAGACAGCCGGTGTCTGGACTCTGGCTCTGAGGGGCGGATGAGGGGTCCGTGCCTGGCTGTCTCTGAGGCAGCAGACAGTTGGACCATGATCTGGCTCTGAGGGCAGCTTGATGGCAAACCCGGGGTCCATGACTGGCTCTCCCTGAGACAGCCGGTGTCTGGACTCTGGCTCTAGATGGGGCGGCTTGATGGCAGACGAGGGGTCCATGCCTGCCTCCCACTGAGGCAGCACACTTGAACCCACCCTCCGGCTCCGAGGGGCGGCTTGGTGGCGGGCGAGGGGCTGGCGTCTGGACTCTGGCTTTACGAGATTGCAACTGGGGTGAGCGAGGAAAGGTCTGAGGGTAACATGGTTTAAGGTGTGTGAGAGCAAGCTTATGAGAGATGCTGTGTGTGTGTGTGTATGTGTGTAATATTTTTTAAAAGATATAACTTTCTCTCTCGATATAGAAATTTGTTTTTTTTTTTTAAAAAGCAGGTGTCTGGACTCTGACTGAGGGGCCAGCCTTTGCCAACCCCCCTGCTGGGGGCTTCCCAGCTGGGCACAAGGGCACAGCAGTGGAGATCCCCAACTCGGGGCCCCGTGGGGCGGGGACGCTGCCAGGGGGAGGCCCGGCTGTTCCTGAGGGAGCCGCGGGGGCCATGAGCTCATCCCTCAGTGGGGTCCCCGCGGGGGGA